TTTTCTTTTGAAGATACCTAAGTAGAGTACAACAACTATTGATAATCTCCTACCTCTTTTGTCTGTAACTCACTATTATCTGTCCATTTGTTTTCCTGAGAAACTATCTTGTAGATAACAATATGTAAAACAATAACCATTGATAATTTCCTACCACTTTGTCTGTAATTTGGTAAGCCCCCCCCATTATTGTTATCCTTCTTTTACTCTTTTAAATTAAAAAAAAAAAAAATATCCAACCCCGAAAGTTAAACTGGGAAAGATTTATTTATTTATTTATTTATTTTTTCTGTACCGGGAATCGAACTCACGACCTTGCGCTTGTGCCACTGAGCTAAATCCCTAGCCCCAGAAAGATTTATTTAGCTGACAGTTTGTGTAGGTTTCAGTCCATGATCGGCCAGCTCCAAGGCAGGGTGGCATGGCAGAGGGGCAACAACAGTTCATGTTGGCAAAAGACAGCAAAAGCAACAAGAGCGAAAAAAGGGGAAACAAGCCTCTTTCTGCCCCCTTTATTTTATCCAGACTGCTGGGATTAGGGCAGTAGCAATCCGATCACCCACCGTTAATCCCAGCATTACACTGTGGATCAATCACAAATTCTAGATTCAGCTGCCTCTGTAAAAGCTCCATCTAAAAGTGCATGAGGCTTTAGGGGGAACATTTAGACACGAACCATACAGGGCATATGTGACTTTAATTTCATCCATTCATTCGATTTTGTTAGTCCTTTCTGCTAGCTTTAAATGCCCAGTATTAAAGTTCTTTTAGTTCCTCTAGAGAACTGTGGGATTTGGCCCTTTCAGTCTCTTCCGACTTGTGAGGGGTCTGCTTCATCCACTTCCTTGCCTGGCCCGGGCAGCCTGTCCCTCTTATCTATGTGGCCGATAGACAGTATGGGTACTGTAGTCTGGTCAGAGATTTGGGTTGAGGCCTGTTGTATAACTTACTGGTTTTATGACTTCAGTCAAGTCACTTAACTTTGAGCCTCAGTTTCTTCATGTCAATAAAGGCAAAAGCATAGCCATCTCAGGGTGTTTTTAGGTTTAGAAATATTTCTAAAGGCCCTGTGAGGTAGTAATTGACAAATGATAATCCTACCGCTGGACCACATGCTTCAGACAGGGGAAGTTCTCTGTGTGTCCTGGAGTCGGTTTCATGCTGTGCAGTTCTGTGGGTTTTGTCAGACGCACAAGTCTCACACTCACCGTCACAGCCTCACGCAGAGCAGTTGCCATGCCCTGAACACACCCTGTGCTGCACCTGCCCAGTCCTCACCCAGGAGACCCCGGGAAGCCAGGAACCTGCCGCTGTCTCCATGGTGCCGCCCTTCCAGGGTGTTACGTGGCTGGACGGTGTAGTGCCTCGTCTTTCCAGACTGGTTTGTTGCACTTAGCAGTTGAATGGGTCGTTTTAATGGGATCAGTCTCCAACTTCTCAATTTCTGCATGCACACTTTATTAATATTGATCCAGCTAAGAGCCATGGTTTATTAATGGCAGTTTTTCTCTCACTATAGAAGAAAAGCCTACCTTCCACCATCCCAAATCCTACCATAGTGTGTTGCCTTGGAGTCTTAGAAAATTACACAACTTAAAATTTTCAACTAATATGTTAAATTTTTATTGTAGAGGAATATGTTAGGGAGAATAATTAAAGTTATAAAGTAGATTACAGAAAGTTCTGTGAGGGAGTGAGTTGGAAATAAAGGTCAAGAAAATGGAATAAAATGTAAAACAAGATTTTTGGATGTTAAAAGACAAGCTATTTGGATAATGATTATATTAAATTATGGATTTAAATTCTATTGAATATATTTAAAATAGTTGATATATTTTATTTTAATGTCATCTTTTCCAATTGAGGAGAAACTAAATTTTTTGAAAGCACATACTTTATCATAGGTGAAAAATTGTAGCTGTTAGGTTGGTAATGTGTGAGGGTTACATAACTTCTCAAAAATATTTTAAGAGTCTGTGAAAAAAAATGAAGACTGGTAGCCTACCCTACTCTGTAAAATGCAAGTTTGTTAACTGGCTTATAAAATCCCTCATTACGTTCCTCCTTCTCTGATCCTTTTTCCTTCTTTTAAAATCACTATGCCCATGCCCTGTGTTCCAGAGAAGCACATCTGCAGTGCCATGTGTCCGTGCAGTCTGGAGGAGGAAGCCCCTATGGACGGTGCCTCCACTTGGCACTGGCTCAGCTGCTCCACCTCCTCTGCCTCCTGTAGCTTCACCAAGGTCTTCACTGCTGAACCTACCAGTTCTGCAGTGAACCCCTCCTTCCCCACCAGGAGACTGCCTTATAGGGGCTTTGGGAGTGACACTGAGTTTTATTTTCACCTCCTCAGCATCTAGCTAAATGCCTGTCCTGGCAATGAGTTAATTTATTGGACAAGTATTATTAAGCAAGAAAGATGGATTTCAGTGGCTTGAAAATTAAGTGTTATACATTATTTTTGTCCGTTACACTGTGAGAGGCTCTTTTGTTTTACACTAGTTGACTTTCTGGCTGTGTACATTTATGTGTACATTTGTGTACATTTATTGCTAAGGGTTTCAATGCAGAAGAATCTAAAAGTGGCTAAGAGAATCTTGGTCCTCGTAGGAGGAGTTCAGCTGTGGAGCAGGAAGGCAGGAACGTTAGTTTTGGATCTAAGGAATTGGCAAATGACATTCTAAAGAGTAGAGCTCCATTTACATCTGTAAAATAAGTGGCCAGATTATTTCCAAAGATTCCTCCACCTTTGATTTAGTTGAGATAAAATTTTAATGAGGCAAACAAATGATAATCGTTGGCAAAAAAGTAAAAAATGTGGACCTGATGTACCTTGATCATTCATATTGTGAACATGCAGGTGCACGTGTAGCTAGCAGGGCTCTTACTTGTATCACCTGAATACTACAGTGCCTTGGCTTAGATTTTGTCACCAATCTAAAAAAAATAGTAAAATAAATGAAATTGTCATGATGATTACAAGTCAAATATGTTGGGTGTTGATTCACACGTTTTCAGATTACAATTTGTTTATTTTGCCGCACACATAATTTTCTGACCAATATTATAATTTCCCATGGGTTTCTATCATTCTGGAAGGAACTTGTTTCATAACATCTCACTGTAGCAGTTAGTCACTGAAGCCTTATTTTAATGAGGAGCAATATTAAAACAGTTACACAAGTGTTATCTGGTTTTGGCCATTCCTGATATGTAATACGTTTTATAAAGCGTGACTGAGTAACATTTTAGGATGACTCTAAAGGGTTTAGGGAGTGTGGTGTTTGGCCAGAACAAAGGCGGTGCTTCTTGTCTTCCTCTCCTCCAACCCCCTTTCTCCACCTGCTTGAGCAAAGCTGTATTTCTTTTGACAAACCTCATAATTGCCCTTCTGTGCCTGATTTGGGCCTCAAGAAAGACCTATAGCATCTGTAAAGCTGGCAGCGAAATGGTATTTCCAGGCAGGCACAGGGCTGCTGGGTAGTGAGCCAATCCACAGCTTTGTCTGAGCAGCTGAGAACTTTGCTGGCTATGACCACGGTGTTCAGTAACACAGACCTGTACCATGCGCAGGGGAAGCGCTCGCAAGTGTGAGGGTCAGTATTTATAGACCACTACGTAGCTGCCCTGCAGAGGGACGCAGAGGGCAAGAAGACAGACCGCAGTGGAGGAACTTTAATTTCCAGTGTTTTCTGAAGACAAAAAATCCTCCATTCTTTTTCCCTGTCAGGTTCAGACTTCTGCTGAATCATAACCATTTGGCACTGAGCTATGACAAGAGAGGAAACAAAAAGTTAAACCAGCAAGCCTGCGTGCGCGAGAAGGTAAGTAATCCGCCGGTGGCGTCTTGTGGGTGCTGTAAACTCCGTCCCTGCTGCTGCTCCGCACCAGCGAGCAGAGGGGTGTGTGGCGCTGGGGCTGCCAAGGAGGGGCTGCTGCTGAATGTTCTCAGAGGCAGTGCAGCGTGTGTGCAGTGTGTGTGCTGTGTCCGTGCACAACGCACTTCGTGTGGGGTGAGGACAGCTCTCAGCACTAACTTCAGGCTGTGTCCTGTCAATAAGTTTCTCTCTCCATTCTCCCAGACTTGGAGTCTTCCAGTTGGTAAATTCTTCCTTATTTTTCTATCAGTATTAAAACATCAGTATCAGCACAGTGTAGAGTAGTGAGTGGTGCAGAAAGAGAGTGGAGGGGAAGAGTTCAGGTGAGTGTGTGAGGACAGAGCAGTGTCACAGTGTGGAAGTGGTGAACGCGAGCAGCGTGGGGTCCTTTCTTCTTGGACCTAAGGATTTTAAGCATCTGGGAGATGGTCGCTGCCTGCTCAAGTGACTTGCTACTGGTTTTTTAAGATTCCTTACTAAATATTGAAGTAAAAGTAGTATCTCTTGTTGCATATTACATTGTCTTTCATGGCGTGTAGCACTTTAAACATGTTTCTGTGGATGCTTATAGTTCTATAGTATGTTCCTTTATCATTATTATTCTTCATATCCCACACTATCATTCAAAACAGTAGTGCAGAAGGAGTTAGGAAGAAAATAGTTCTCTATATTTTTTTCTGACTTAGAACACACTTGAAATGTGTACACCTTTTTGCTTTTGTCTATTACCTATTGATGAGGAAGTCAGTGTCTTGCTTTGCTAGAACTATGGAACTAACTAGAAGAAATTACTGACAGAATGAAAGTTTTCTTGTTTTTTAGATTGTGGAACCTTTAACATTAGTATGATATTTAACCATTTTTAGGTTAGGTCACATATGATGAGATAGTTTCAAAAGATTTTATGTAATATATATTTAAAGGCAAAAATAACATTAATGTTGCTATAGAACTGTCTCCTAACATAGTTTTTGTTAGGGCTGCTGTGCTGAGACCAGCTTTTTCTAAGATGAGCTAAATCTGATCAAAAAGCTGGTGGAAGAGGTCTACATGTAAAATACACCTCTTCATGTGAGGCCAGTAATTGGACAGCATCACTTTTATTGAATGCAGATACAGTTTTTTAAATGGTACAAAATGATTCAAAGTAGAATTTATTAACTCATGAATGCTTTGACGCTAACCTGATTCATATGTAAATGTAAGTATATCTTAACATTTAATGTTCATTTTATCTTCTCAATCAAGCTTTCCTCTTGTATTTTGAAGCTGTTTACAAATTTATTAATGGGGTTTCATTTGGAGTTTTGACTACATGTTTATTTTAAAAATGCAACTGTGGTTGATCTAATTGGGCGGTCCCCAGTTGAAGAACTTGCCTAGCTGCAGACATCAATAGATTTTTTCTTTGCTACTATCTTTGGGTAATATGTCATAGTCAAGAATATGGTTTCAGTTCTTTATTCACTATGTTTTATATTTGCTTTATATGTTGTATAAATATATCTTGCTCTTTCTTATCCCTTTTTACTGGTTTAAATTTTATTCCTTCTGGTGACTTATTTCTGAAGTACCATGCTGGAACTTTGGGCAGAAAGCAGGGTAAATAAATCACAATAATATATGGAAACTAAAGAATGTTTTCCCTTCAAACAGGAGAAGAGGGCTGGGGATTTAGCTCAGCGGCACAGCGCCTGCCTGGCAAGCGCAAGGTCATGAGTTTGATTCCCGGTACTGGAAAAAAAGCCCCCTCCCAAAAAAAACAGGAGAAGAGAAGTAGATGACTATGGTATTATGTGATAATATCCAACATGGATTTTATATTGGTTGAGTGTTTTAAACCTTGAAATACCTTGTCAGTATTATTTTGGGCTTCATTGTCAGTCCTGATATTGATTATTTATCATACTCGTAAATAACATTTTTATGCGGTAGGGCTTTTGTGTTATGTGTCAAGTACCTATTGAAACAAGGAGAGTGGATTTAGCTTGAAATGTTATTATTCGTTTCCTAGTGGCTCCCACTCCATCTGCCACACCCTTCCAGGGACCACCTCCTGCGAGACAAATGCATTGCTTTCCTGCAGCCACCCTCTCCCCAGACCCCCAGGCCTCTGTTCCTCTTTCTTGCTATTGTGTCTCTTTGATTGAGCTGCTGCTTGTGTTTTGTGTTCATTTTCTGCCATTCCTTTTCAAATATGATCTATGTCCCTCTTTTCAACCCAAAAATCATATTCCTCTTTCCCTTTGTTTCATGTTCCAACAGCATTCAACATTCTGACCTTTTGTATTTCTTAAAACAATCCTTGCCATGTTGACTCTCTCTGGAGTTATGTTTCTCTCTTCACCTTTTTTGGTGGAGGGGCAGTACTTGGAATTGAACCCAAGGTCTTCAGACGGAGCTTCATCTCTACCCACTCCTCTGACTTTTTATGTTTTTATTTTGAGACAGGATCTCAGTAAGTTGCTAAGTTAACTAGGCTGGGCTGGAACTTGCCAACCTCCTGCCTCAGTCTGTCAGAGGGGTACAGGGATGAGCTCCCACATCTGCTTCTCTCTGCAGCCTACAAACTTTCTTAACCTCTCCTCTAAGGTTCAGCGGAGGCCTCCGTCCCCAGCACCCTGCATGGTCTACTCAGCTCTGATGCTTGGCCTTCCATAAGCATTTGTCCCAGTGCTTTGTAAAGTTTTATATTATCATGGTTTGTGTTACTTTTTCTACATAAGACTGTAGTTATTTGTAGCCAGGTTTTAAGTTTGTTCTTTTATGTGACCATAAATTTTCCAGAATTTGAAACAAAACGTATTAATGCATTTTAAAATATAGATTAGATGGATGGAAAGTGTTTTTTGTTGTTGTTGTTTGCTTTTGTTTTTTAAGATAGTCTGACTGTGTAGCCAAGGCTGGCCTTGAACTCACAGTGATCCTATTGCCTCAGCCTCCCAAGTGTGCACCAGCATGCCTGGCAATAGTGCTTTTTAAAAGAAGTATTTTGTTTCTCTTTCTAGTGTCAGTCAGAAGAATATGCGTGTATTTGTGTACATTGGTCCAAGTAGATATTTGCTGAACAAAAGTGCAACATTATATTGGTTAGAAAATGCAGATTCAGAACAACATCTTTTACTTAATTAATTTGATGGAAATGTCAGTATAACTAGCTAGTCGCCGCTGGCTTGCGGTCCTCTATGATAAACTGAAAGATGCCTCGGCAAATGAGGCTGCGTCAACCTCCTGAAGGGCCCAAGAACACCTTAGGTGAGAGTCCACCCTCACCTTCCTGGAGGGTGAGAGTGAAGTTGCCCCAGCGTTACTGATAAAGAGTACCTTTAAGTTTTATTTGCTGCTAAAGAGACAGGGATTTAAGGAAATAATAGGAAATCATGACTTAAGAATTCCCAAACCTGAAAGGTGATACTCCATTTCAGTCAAAAGAAGAATTTGCTTCTCAAAATAGAAATGTTGAAAGAAAAGGAAGTCAGTGTTTAAAGAAGTGGTTGAGAAATAGCAGCTGTTTCTTTCAGCTCTGATACTCATTAAAAATAAAATTTGTCTATGTTTTACTTATCTATCATACATAAAGTGCTTACTTTATATATGGAAACTTTCTATACCAGGGACACATGTAAAATTTCATGCTAAATTTAGAGGAATTTAAAAATTTTCTTATTTTGATTATTTTTACTTCTCTGTGTAATCTACCAGCACTTTCCACTACTATTTAAGTCTTATAAACCCCTTCCAGACATTGAATGTGACTCTTTTGTTTGTTTAACCTTGAGTTGTATCTGTCTCAGGAATGAAAACAAGACTGGTGTTTTCATAGAAAAATTTGGCAACCTTTTAATTGCTTGGAATTGTCCATAATTTAATTTGAAATTCCTTTTTGCATATATTTTGCCCACATAACTACCTAATGGTAAAACTGATATGGAGAAAGTTCTTTACCAAAAAGTTCAAGCTATAAATTTTATAGATGTTACTGGCATATCCAACAATATGTGTGTTACAAGACTGGGAAAGTGGAGATTTCTTTGAGTGTAGATATAGAAACATACAGAGTTTCTGTTAGACAGTGAGGACAGAAACCCAAGCTTGCCCCCATGTTAAAGATTACAGCAAAAACAAACATGGTCTAAAAAGCACCACTACCACCAAGAAAAGGTTGGAATGAGGCATAAAAGATTTTACCAAGACAGTAAAGTCTTATTCTTAGCAGCTTACCTTGCCAGTCAAAGTTTTTTTTGTAACTATGGTTGGCATAGAGTTAGCGAATAGAAGAGGAAATTAATTATGGGAGTAGAACCTTAAAGTCCTTCTTCAGCTTTTTCATGTTTTTTTGTTTTTTTTTTTTTTTTGGTTTTTCTCCGGTACCGGGAACCGAACTCACGACCTTGCGCTTGCCAGGCAGGCGCTTTTGCCGCTGAGCTAAATCCCCAGCCCCTTTTTCATGTTATAGATGGGCAGTTGAGGCACAAATGGGTAATGTAACTTGCCAAATACAAACTTGTAAAGTACCTAGTTAAGCTTTGGATTTTAAAAAAGAAACATAAGGCCAGTATGTTATTAATGTAGCTTTTCTTATTTGGTTGCAATTGCTTTGCTTTTATTCTGCACATTGCACTTAAAGCTTAATCTGTTGTATCTCTATATTTTGTATTGTATTAGACTCCTTTGCATTATTTCTTAATTCCTGGAAGTGAAAGCTACTAGTTCTTAACCTTAAGTGAGAAGGAGTATTTTTTTTACTTAAAAAAATACTTTAAATATCTCTTTTCTAACAATAGATAGGCTGGTTTTGCTGTTTTGTTCAGTAGAACAGTCCCAGGTATGGCCTTACAACCTTTCTCCTTGCTGCAAACATGGCAGGATGTTGGTCAGCTCCCCCTTGGTGTGACAGAGTACCTGGGATAGATGACCTCAAGAGCAAAGATTTATTTCATTGATGA